AAAAGAATCTGTTCTGAGTCTAACGTTCGATAGATTACTTTTCCTTTTGAGTTCTATGCGAGTTAATAGCTAACTGTAGTTTTCCCTCAACTTTCTATTCGATCTTTATGCTTTCTACATCGAAGCCCAGTTTTGGTACATCCTAACCTTTTGTAACACCCGATTTCATCTCTTTTATCCATTTTGAGCATGTAATTTTTTTGTTTCACAGTCGTCGGCGTTCGGTTGTATCTATTTAACAACTCATATTTCACCATAGTCATAAAGAACTCACGTAAGCGACCTGGATGCCGTCTTACTTTCGCCTATGGTATGCAGAACAAGAGACGCAATGGTTAGTTTCACGAAGCACCCACAGATCTCACTGTAGCTGCTCACAACAGACTTAGTAAGTCAGGCCACACGTGGTTATGTGGTAAATGCAACATGAACGCTTATTATTTGCTGACCATTCTCATCATTCACTTGGCATGTCCAAGAAAAATATATGTTGGCAACTCCAAAACTAGGCAGTCCTAAAGCAGACAAACAAACAAAGACGCTCAATAAAGTAAAGAATAGGGTCTTCGACAACAATTGTATCGACGGCAGTGATGCTATTTTGTAACTCTACATCGCCATAATATTGATACTGATAGACCCCCTCAGTAAATTTGTGTCTCTTAGCACAAGTTCGTAAGTGGAGCTGTCTTCCTCAAAATTTCTGTTAGTGCGTGGATCTCCCTAAATAAAGTTAAAAAGGATGGAGTGTCACCACCGAAAACTCTGACCAACCCAGGTTTTGCAGGAAAATCAGTCAGTGAATCAGCTTTATAATCTATCCCTAAGATTTTCCAACCATTAAGCGAACAGCATAGTAGTCCGAAACGCAGTCCGAATGCAAAACAAAAAGAACCTCGATATCAACATTCCCAACGACCTGGAAAAACGATAATGATTCGCTGTGATTCTTTAATAATCATGAACGCTGAAGAAAATTCCGACCTTCCTTCCAGCCTGTAGGACAAAAATGACTGGATGCCTCAAAACGAGCTAAACAGGAGCTTACACTTCTCAAAATTTAGCAACCAACGATACGCGGCTTACCCAGGAAAAGGATTCCAAGCACCGAAATCACGCAAGACTCCTTCATGTAATGCTCTTTAACACCAATGATGGCCAGTCGCTTTTTTAAATCAGATGATGCAAGAATACTACTTTATATATCATATCCTGGGTGTGATCTTATCAGGTATTCCACAAAGAATCTACCGAGGCGTTCTTCGCGAAAAAATATCGTCGCGCAGGGTGTCCCGGGAAACACGGAGCTATAGACTTAGAAAACCCTGTGTGAGCAGGCTGTCTGTCCATTCACATAAAAATCACCCAGACAAACAAAACGAGGACGTTAACGCGTTTCGAATCAAAAGCATAAACTTCCAATGTATGGACTCTTTGGTTTAATTGCTTGAAAAGCAAAATAAAACTTTTAAATCTTTTCACGTCTATTTTATTTTATTTCTGTTCATCTTAATATATGAAGTCTGCTTATGTTCGTATTTATCATTATTACCGTTATTAATATCATTATTAGTTCCCCGTCACATTAGATATTTCTTTTTATCACTTCTTATCCTTCTAAACATATTTAATTCCTGATTGTCCTTTGGAATTAACTGTGACGTTCATAGCATCAATCTTAATTATTATTGCACAAATATTTATACTAATATCCGGTTTCACTCTGTATACTATTACATAAATCTAAATGTATTTATCTGAGTGCATTAAAGGATTTTTATTTTATTTTTCTAAATTGTTGGTTTCCTTCTGAGGTTGATATTCATTACACAATTATTATTCTTATCATGGATCAAAACTTTTCACTAAGTGTTCACTTCTTTTCTCTCTTCTTTCCCTCTAAATAAATATTATTCTTAAGATTACGAAGTTTGTAATTAGAACAATAACTCGTGTTACACTTAAATTAAATTCTCAGACCCGTTTTATCTTCACTATGCATATATGACTACTCATACATATTGATATTTTATTATCCTTTCCACTCAATTGAGACTTCATCGCATCACTCTAAACTATGACTGCACAAACATTTATTCTAGCGTCATATCTTACTGCAATTATAAGTTATTTTTTTCTAATTATTTTTGTTACTAATTTAACGATACACACATAGTCATTTATTCTTGTTCTGTGTTCATAAACACGCCTATGAGACTGTTTGCGTATTTCACGTCTCCTTTATTTCTATTCCCTTATTTTCTCCATTTCCTTCTTTAAACTCAATTCAATATTCTTCTCAATTGCACAGACCCGATTTATTATTATTAATATTCTACAATTATTGCTCTAATTTTTTTTAAATGGCAAGTATAATGCTGACATTATTGAAAATTGTGTATTATTGCATTTTTTGAAGAAACCCGAAATGGTTTCTTCACAACACTTATGTACCCATAAGATGTTTGTGAATAATAATAATAATAAGTTGCGCGAACTATGTAACGCCAATGATATTCATCTGATGGGAGTATCTAAAACATGGGCATCTAAAATCAGGGACCAAGAGCTATCTACAGGATAAATATGAATTTGGGGCGGAGCTGTCCTGTACCTTAGATCTTGGTAGTACATCGGGAGTACATTAGACAGTTTATCAATCTTAATGAATCCGTATGGTGCCCAGTGAGATTGTCTAACACCTCGAAGTGTCTAGTTGAAGTCATCTACAGGAAGCCCACTGCTGTCAGGAGTCTGCAAATCTCGCTATACTCGTTTCGGATCCACTCGTTTCCCGATTCTAGGAGATTTCAAACTCTCTAAAATCAATTTTGCTGGACATATGTGCATTTGAGGTGGCAACGCTACTGGAGCTCTGTTCCTTAACGTTATCTAAAAATGCGAGGTATGCAACGTCGTAGAGACATGGTCAGATACGTTACACTCAGGCTGCATATTTACAAATGAGGAATTCCTTAGTGACAACCTCATAATCCTGGCTCTCCCGGGAAAGTTATCACGTTGTCATAGCCCTGAGCTTTACCAGCAAAGCTGAGCTAAGACATCCAAACGGTTGGATGTGTCCGCTTTACAGATCTACAGCAAGTGGACTAGGAAATACATCCTCAACTTGATGAGGACGCTCATTGGGATTTCTTTCTGCATATGATCTTATGTGCTATAAAACAGTCTGTCCTGCAAACGGTCCTTAAAAATAAACAGGCAGCCCACAATCATGAAATATCGTGCTCTTCGAATGCTATGATGTGAAGAACAATGCTGTGTAGGATAAAAATGAACTGGTGACGACGGCATATATATGGAGTTCAAACGAGCAAAGAAACAATGTACAATGATATTAATGGAAGATAAGCTTCATTACCAGATGAAGCTGACTGATAAACTTTTCTCCACCGTGCACCTACTCTCCAACAGGTCAAAACCGGATTTTCCCAGTTGTTATGTCCTAACGACGATGACGCTGTGGATCTTTTGGCAGAATAAAACTTTCAAACATTTCAACCTTCACCTGCAATTCACCAAGACTCTCAGAAGTGAAGCTGAGAGCATCACAAAAACGAGCACTTAAAGAACACATCCTGGCCCGGATATGGTCCGTTCTGCTATGTCGAGAGAGGCGGCTTTAATCTTCATAGAACCATTTAGCGAGGTGTTGTTAGTTTCGCTAAGCCGAGGCACATCACCAGAATTTTTAGAAGCTAACTCACATTACATCAGTTTTCAAGGGTTTTCGACGCAGTGAATCTTTAAGCTACCGGCCGGTAACACGTCTCTCCATTCTTTTAAAAACTATAGAGTCTCTGATATACGATGTTCTACGTGACTACTTACCATCTATAAACACCCCAGCGGAACGGTTTCAGAGAGTTTATCTTTGCATAACCGACCTCATAACCGTAGTGAACCGATGGACAACCATCCTTGATCTTAAGGGGAAGGTTAATGTCAGATACCTTGATATCTCAAAAGTTTCTATTAGGGTGAATCATATATTCCCCATCAGTAAGCTTAATATATTAGGTACCTTGTCATTTTTAATGGATTGGCATAGTTCATATTTAAATAATCGATCGTTTAGGGTCAGGATAAACTCCATCTTTCCCCAGACTATGGGGTATCTCAGTGTGGTCCCTCATGGTTCAGTACGAGGACGTCTGCTAACTTATATAAATGATCTCCCATAGCAGGTATCGTCTGATTTATTACTTTTCACTGATGATGTGAAACTCTGGAGAGAATTTCGCAACTAGAATTATAAACTGGCACTCCGGGAGAATCTGACTCGACTTCAAAAATGAGAGGACAAAAACGGGCTTACACTTAACACTTCAGAGTGTAAATCAGTCCAGCTGAGACATGTTTCAGACTACGAATACAAATTAGGTGAATCGCCTCTATGGATATCCCACGTTGGAGAAAAATCTGGATGTGTTAGTACTCTATGATCAGAATTCTTCTGAGTACCTACTTAAGCTCAGTCTCAACACAAATCTCAGAGGTACCTCACAGAAACTGAAGATAACATAGCAGAAGGTACTGTGGGCATCTTCTGCCCCTTAAGATTAGTCAAGTGCTGAAATTATCTGCCAACTAAGTTTATTTAAGCGACTTTTCAGGAGTCCTTCGAGATAAAACTTGGCATATTCCCAAGGAATAACGAGAGTATCTCACTATAATGTACAAATATTTTTCTATTTTGTCGTTTAATATACTAGGATTCCTACTTGGTTGCATCAGTGATCCACTCCTACTAAATATGGAAGCCCGTTAAGCGAAAGCATTTTTTATTCCGTTCAGGACCATTTGAAACAGCATCATACTATGATTTACCAATTTCTTTTCCTCTTTTATTGTTAACATACCTAGGTTCCTGCCTGGGGGATTTGGTGATCCCCTGCTACTAGACACGGAGGCCTGTTAAGCGAAAGCTTCTTCTATTCCGTCCACAACCATTTGAACCATTTGAACATAATTTTACTGTAACACTCTTGAGATGTTGCGTTACACTGGTTTTGTACAGTCCTCTTGTGATGCATCGAAATATGAATTCATTCTATGTGCTTACTAAGTCATTTTACTTGTCCTCTTTTTTATGGTAGTGGAGAATATGAATGACCTTTGCAGAATAATAGTAAAGATTAATAAGACCACGGCAAACAAATCGAATAGCTATTCGATTTATTCATGTCTAGACATGAATACTGAAACTTATTATGCAATTTATCAAGGTTTTCACCACGAGCTGATATCTACTACAATTCGATGGACATGACTATTCATAGTCATGTTAATGGATGGATTTCGCCCCCTAATATGTCCGTATATACGGACATGCATATATATTTTAACAGGAATATGTACATCACGGTTCCTAATGTTAAAGTGTTTAGTATGCATTGGTTTACTTATGAGTTATCTTAAAACATGTACCCTATAACCTATAATTAGCTTTAGTATAAGACATGAACACTCGGTTCCTCAAAAGTTCTAAGCACAACAAATTTCTAGATACAGGGATTCCTGTTGCTATTTAGGTCGCCGTGCAATAACGTGGCATTTCTATAAATGTAATTAAAGTCCTCTGGTATGGTTTTCAAGAGTCATGTGTTGTACTTTATGTTGTGCGCTTTTTGTTACAACATTTAATCTTTTCTTTGTAGTTTTCCTGGAGCTCAACTCTGCAGTAGCGTATACATTATCGAATCCAAGTAAGTGTGTTTACTTTACCTTCATCTAGAATTATGACTTATAATACCATTTATTGTGTACAATAGTCCCTAAATTTTTCCGTCCATGTACGTTCAGTCCGTTTAGGCAGAATTAATATACACTAGTGATTGGATCTTCAAGGCACTGTAAATCCCAAGAGTTGTTATAGGCCACCTGTCCTTTTATTCCTACTACTCAAGACTTCCCTTCTGTCCTTTTTAAGTTCTACTGTGAATGAATTTACCTGCTGTATTCAAGGTAATTGCGTTCATGTTCATTAAAGTTTTTTAGTCTACTTTAGAGCTTCCTGTTGCTGGATTTACGGTCACTGTTGTACAGATAGAGTTTTCTGACCACTTAATGGTACTTATTTCACGCAACGGAATGATTGGGGATATTGTAAATCACGTATTTGATAAAATATTCTTTCAGGTATTGTCCCAAAAAAGCAACCTACCGACAGTAAATGGTCATGTTTCTCATGATCTTGATACTCGGACCCTGTTTGGTCCTGACAAAGTGAGCCCTCATGTTATTTGTACATTATTATTATTATTATTATTATTATTATTATTATTATCAGCTTTATTCAATGTTATATTTTCGGTACAATATAGAATTCTCAGCGCAAAGTATTTCAACAAGTTTCCGTTTCTTTCTTTCCGGTCGGTCCTGGCGATAAATATTGAGTGATCGCCAGTTAGATGTTTGCAGTTAAGTAAATGAACATCTGAATAATGTACATTCTTTTCGTTGTATATAGCCAGCAACCACATTGTGTCTTATTGAGTGTTTTGTAACTTTGACAACGAAAGGTTTTACACTTCAGGAACGCAGCAGAATAGCTTATGCGATTAATAAACATAATGATATATTAAAACAAACAAAAAATAGATAACTTGTTGAAATATCTAGATGGCAGGAACAGGTAGCCCAGATGCTCAAGCAGGCCGTCCTTTTTATGTTTCTTTTGCAAAGAGTTTGGAACGTCGGGTACTATATTGTAGTACACTTCATTACATGTTTCGCTCATATCTTTAAAAAGCTAGGAGCTAATAAGCTTCCAAAAATAGATACAGTTAAAAAAATAAATCAATCGAATAGGCATCAGGATTTACTTGCTAAGACTGACCTTGTCACATCTCTTTTCATCTCTATCTTTTTATGATTTAATACACAATTTATAATTGGACGAGTAAGACGATTCGATATAGATGCGTATTTCAGTCGGAATTTTAGTTTCAGAAACCTCACTATATATAAATGTACTGGGTTGTTGCTTTAGTGAATATTTAAAATATCTCTTTACCATTTTAAGATTTCAAAAAGTAATTTAACGTCTGTAGATGAACCTGTGTTACTCGCTTTCAATGTAAGTTCATGTGAAAATAATGTGGGTTAAATAAAATTACACTTGTTACACACTGGTTCCAAATTATGTTTGCTTTTTATTGTACCTGCCTTCAAATGTATAAAGCTGAGAATTTTGACAAACTACGGATTTCATGTGTGCCTCATCCCAGTTTTGCTTACAGATATATGATCTATTCTTGTGCAATGCATCAATTGTCCTTTGACATTTTATTGTTTGTAAGTTACCTAACAATTCTATCTTATTCTCCTTTACAGTTGAATACTTGTCTTATCACAAGGCTGATCACTAAGATTTTGGATACTTCAAAAACAATACTTGTTAGTACTGATTTCAAAGAAGAAATTTGTTTTAGTGATACTCAACTAATTTGTGATGTCTTAAAAAACATAAGATCGACATAACATAATGTTTTTGTTCTTGCTTAACGTTTGTGATTGGTTAGGTATGCACATGTATAAGGCCCTCTAGTTTTCGTAATCTCGTGAAGGATGTTTTGTCACTAGTTTTATTGAAAATCAAATACTGTGTAATTTGAAATACAGCGTCACGTCAAATAAGCATTATTAGGAGACAGTTTATCAAAAAACATGCGAACATCCTACTTACAACCTATAACGTTTACTAAGGATAATACGCCGTATTACGAATGATATTTAAACTATTTTAAGAGTTGTTTTATGGATTCGGGATTTCGATTTCTGATTCATTCATAGGGTTTAAGTAATTTGATATTTACCTCCAGATGCTTAACAAAATCAGAAGAAAGATTGACCCCCACCACACACTGCAGATTGTAAAAATTATGCTCAAGGAGAGCTACTGGATCCTTGTTTGAGTCGTGCATATATTTTTTTACGTTTTTATCTTTTCTGAAACACCGGCTGATAGTTGTTATATTTCTTGATACCAAGGCTGTCTTCATTTCGTTAAACAAGACCTTCCTTTGCGTCTGACCATCAAAAAATAGTGTTTCTGAAATGTCCATGCACATCCTGTACATAAATACCTCGTGCAGTGAGGAATACAATGACTTCTGTCCATTGTTCCATTTCAACAGCTCAATCAACCAGGTTTGCTCTATCTCACAACTCCTCTTTGATATTCTGGTAACCATTCTCAAGTGAGTATACAGTGGTAGTTCGTTACTCAGAAAAACTCCACAACCATTGGTGTGAGTAGCGTCGTTTTACTGTGTAACGATATACAGGCAATCAATGCTCGTTATTATGTCATGCATTTTACACCTAAATGCAGAGTACTACTACAGAACCAGCATAATTTTTCTTTTTCACTCGCTCTTTATGGTGGACTGCTGAGAATAGTCCGGGAATTCATGTATCTGATTAGCTGTAAAAATTCTTATGGTGTAGCAAGTAAGGTCAATCAGCAATGTGTCCGGCGATATTTATGAAAAATTATTTAGTCCTGTTCTTTTGGGTCCCCATCTTCCATGACTTGGACTAAATATATAAAAATAAGAAATGGTTCGTACGTGATATATCGCTGTAAGACGAAAGGTAAGATTGACAACCATTTGTCCATCATGATTCTTAGGACGGTCGGTCGAGGATTATGCTGCCTACTATTTTCTTATGTTACAAAATGTGGCTAAGAATATAAATCATCAGGGATTCTGTTGTATTACCAATTACATTTGTCGTAAAAGTGAGATACATCTTTTAAACGGACGAAATTTACATTCATTGTTTTCTTAGCAACCCGGTTTAGTTACTCTAGTTCACTGTTCAGTTAATCTGGGCTTGGTATGCTAAAATATTAGTTTTCGTCCATATTTGTTAACTGCGTTATTGGTCTGGTGAAAGAAGTGGTCTTCCCCATTAACCTATTGATGTCTAAAGTACATTTTACTGTAACAGAAACATTTCGTAATTATTGAACTCAATTCAGCTAAAATAAGCCTGTATTTGTAAAATCTCAGCGAAAGAATTTGAAGTAAATCCAACGTTTTGCCTGGCAATCTGGTCCAAGCTTTTTCAAGGAAAATATAATCAAACAACAAAATTATCGAATATAAATAGGTACATGGTTCTCTGGTTTACTGTATACTGAATAAGTCATCCAATCAACGTTAACAATGTTTAAAGTAGGTATTTACATTAGTGTGTAAGAGATATGTGGTGTGAAACGAAAAGTGTTAAGATAACAGATTGTGTGTATACATAAGTAAGAAGAGGATATTTTATTCACTATATATTGTCTTCGGTCAGTAGAATATTAGGAAAACATATATATGACATGAAACAAAAATGTCACAACATGCAAAAAATGAAGATAAATAAACAAGATAAAAGACTGAATTCAGAGAAGAATGTCTTTGTAGTTGAAAGTTTGTGTTATTTTAATGTTCCAGTCAATTTTTTAACATATTCAGATAAGATAACCGATTTGAACTGTTGAGTGAATTATCTGTTGATTAGTTAATATGATATAGATAGCTAGAATGGAATAAGGAGTTCAGGTTTACTTACTAATTATTAGCTGCCATGGGACAGCTAGTTGTATTCCATCTCTCCTATTAATACTGTTTGGATTAGCCCATATATGTAGGGTTTCGGTCGTTAGTCGTTCTTTGTAAGAATTAAAGCCTTTCTGAATGATTCTTGCGCCATTGAAATAAATTGTATGACTCGATTCTGTCGAGCGTAATGCTATCGCTGATTTGTTCTCAAGTTTTCTTACATCATCTGGGGATTTAGGAATGTGCTTTAAGTACAGTTTGTGTTTCTTCACCCTCACAGTCAGTTGCCTTGATGTTCCACCTACATAAGTTGCATTACAGTCATTACATTTGATTTCATAAGCACAATTCTGTTGTTCTTCCTTGTGAATTGCATCTTTGATTCTTACTAGTTTTGATATTAGAGTATTGTTTGTTCGAAAGAATACTCTTAAGTTTTGAGGAGTTAGAATCCTTCTGATCTCTTCTGAAATACCTTTACGATATGGGATCACCACTGTGTTGATTCATTCTTTTTGCTTAACTCTTTTTTTAATAATATTTTGTTTTTCATTCTTGATTATTCTTTTAGTAAAATCCTTCGGATAATTATTCATCATTAGAGTGAATATAGTTAAATTCATTTCCACTTTTATATCATTTGGTTCAGTGACAAGTTTTTTGACTCTGGTGATCGGGTTTAAGTTCATTGTCAGAATCTAAGAGGTTATATACAATATCTAAAGCTTTATTAACAGTAACATTAGTGAACAATTAGCAAACATCAAAACCTGCCATTATTTCATCCTCTTCTATGCGGATATTACTGACAATGTTTTTGAAATCATTAGAATTTCTTATTCCATATTTGATTACGCTTTCATATGGTTTAAGAATTTTGGCCAGGTATCTAGAGAGACTATTGGTTGGTGAATTTATCAACCACAGGTCTTAGTGGGATATCTGTTTTATGTATTTTCGGTAGGCCATAAAATCTACGAAGGTTATTGCTTTTAGGGTATAAAGAAAACCATAAAGCTGGTCCCAGTTTAGATTTTAACTTCTGTAGCATTTTGGCCGTTTCAGCTTCCAACTTATTTAAAGTAGCTCCACGTTTGTTCTGCGGGCAGTATCACAGCTCTCACACAAATCAATGTTAACTGCTACTGGTCTCATTTTTATTGTGTGGCGCATATGTATTTGGGTGCACCCTTGTACCAATGTTTATGTGTTCAAATAGTAATAAATTCCTGACAATGGCCTCTAAAGTCTTAACAAATTACAAACAGAACTTACTTAATTATTACCTATAGTTTCCTTTGAATCTAACTAGTTCACAAAACGTATGCACATATAAATAATTCCCCAGCCAATTCAGAAATCAAATTCTTTAGGTCGTTGAAAATATTCTATACGATTAACATGTTAGATGACTCAGCTAGTTTTAACTTGAGAACCGCAATTATAGCAAAAAGAATTATTGTACATAAAAATATATTCATTATCGCGGTCATAATAGAATACAATGCTCAAAATTAATATATTGAAGTAACCATGACGGTGTACATCGAGCTAGTAATAATAATAATAAAATTGTGTACAAAACGAAACAAAAGATAAAAGGCGGCAGTACATTAAGAAATGCTTCAGTTCTGAATTGATATGTATATATATCAGTCAATAAATGCATACATAGTATAACAGTGTTATTTATTAGACTGGATTACATGGAGTTAATGCTACTACTACTAATTCATTTGGTACAATGTTAACCTCTTCAACGCTAGTTGAATTTAAATTCTGTTGAACTGGTAAAACAACTGGTGTATTATTATCCTTTCGTTTAACCTCTTCAACTATTGTTCGTATTGTTTTCTCATCGTCTTTGTAAGCTGGATTTGTTACAGATTTCATTCCATCATCATTCTGTTTAGTTTTCATCAATTTTCTAGCTTTAAAAATTCTACGAAATACACCTTTACTTATACTTGTCGAAGTAAAATATTTATCACCAGCATGTGGTAAAAATATACTAAATGCAAATCCGATAAGTGCCATAGCTGAAAATATCAATACTGCACCTAACGCAGATACTCGTTGTAAAAATACTTGTCCTAGATAAGGTGATGTTAATACGCCAATACGAAAACACGTTGACATAACACCAAACACAAAACTTCTTATACGTGGTACATATAAACCTGTTATATAAATTGCAGTCGCATTATTACCGGCGGATGCTACAGCTCGTGTTGCGAAAAAGAAGAAGCGTAGTAGATTTGACGGCATGCAGAAAGCCTGAAATTGGTTGTAAAGAAAATGTAATAAAGTTACATTAAATAAAGTGATTTTTAGGAAGTTACAATAATTTGAGGTTGGTCTGCATTAAAAATAACTTTCTGGTTAACGTATTTTTATCAGGGTTCTTTTTCTACGGAATTAGAAATCCATATTTTCCGGAAAACCATTGAAAATCAGGAAGAACAAGAACAATGTTTACTTTTCTTTTGAGGTCCTCAGAAGCTTTGATGTTTTGTAAGGCTGGGTCTGTGAACTCAAGGGTCCCTAATGTGAACCGGTATTCAGTTATTGAGTCAATTGATGAAGTTGTTCAGTAGCCCCATAGTTTCCGATGACGAATTAACTTATCCGAATATTCAGTAAAAATTTTGGTCAGTTTTTCATAAATCAATACTTTAGGTAAAAGACATCCACTTAAACTTACATGGACATACGAATCCATATTTCACAGTTCCATGCTAAGTAGTGTACAATCTTATTATCCAGTATAAATGTTTAACACTATATATTTATATAGATCCTCCTGGGGCCTTTCTGGGGCTGCTGCCGATTCCAAGCTCGGATAAAGAAGGAGGGTTGGGCATGAGGTCAGCGACCACATCCCGTAGAAAACTAACACTAGAAAAACGCTAACCAGAAAAAAAATA